ATGGAGAATGACCCCTCCCCCTTATGGTGACATACAAGGGCCGGATATCTCACCTGTAGGGTGACGAGGGTGGGCAGGGCGACATCGAAGGCTCCCGGGGTGATGGCGGCCGGCGGTTCGGCGTGAGAGATCATATTGAGCAGCAGAGTCCCGCCAACCATCTGCCTGGAGGAGAGAAATGGAGGTCGGGAAGGAAACACTGAGCACCATCTTCCAGCACTGGCACCCCCGAACCATCCATCAATTCAACCCCCTCCCCCCGGTCATCAGTAGTGCCCCACCCTCTAACTGGTGACCCTGAAATCTGGCACCCTATGATCCCCTAGGGTCACCTTGGAGACATGTACACCAATCACTGACTCAGGGCACCCACACCTGATTGGTCAGTTGTCTCTCATTACATGTATGGCCAGCATTGCACAGGACAGGGGGACTGCCCAGGTGCATCATGGGAGCAGGAATGCTCAGCTATGACATGCTGTGAGGGAGGCGTGGCCACACACACAGGTCCTGATTTTAATGTCTCCCTTGTTCCTGACTGTTAGAGGCCCCGGAAGAGTTGGACTCGTGTTGTGTGCTCCGAGCGGAGTCCTGCTTTAAGTCTCCATCTCCGGCGTGGTGGTCGGCCTCCTATTAAATAGAATGAAATCTCCCCGGGTGGGGTCACCATCGTCTTCGGAGGAGCAGACGTGGAGTGTCATGGACACCGGATATCGCCGATCGTGATTGATCGTCCCAATTTACATCCTAATTATATACAATAGAGAAGAGAAGGCGATCGATGGATCCGCTAATGGGCGAGGCCGCGCCTCCTATATACACGGCGGGATGAAGCCCCCGGGAAGTCTCCGAGGTCGGGGGATGGTGGATAAGAGGGGGCCCCACTGTTACTGAATACTCACTGGGTGGGGTAGAGGGGCAGACAGGACCAGGCCAGGAAGGAGCTGCGAGTGTCAGTCACCGCGCACAATCTCAGCACCAATATCGTCTCGTACGGCAGAGCCGCCAGCGGCAGCGGAAACGTCATCCTGGAACACAAGACACAAAGTGACATCGGGGCCAAAGAGAACCTGTCACAGCAAAGAGAACCTGTCACAGCAAAGAGAACCCGTCACAGCAAACAGAACCGTCACAACAGAGAACCCAACAGAACAAAGAGAACCATCACAGCAAACAGAACCAGTCACAACAGAGAACCCAACAGAACAAAGAGAACCCGTCACAGCAAACAGAACCGTCACAACAGAGAACCCAACAGAACAAAGAGAACCATCACAGCAAACAGAACCAGTCACAACAGAGAACCCAACAGAACAAAGAGAACCCGTCACAGCAAACAGAACCAATCACAACAGAGAACCCAACAGAACAAAGAGAACCCATCAGAGCAAACAGAACCCGTCACGGCAAACAGAACCCGTCACGGCAAACAGAACCTGTCAAAGCAAAGAGAACCTGTCAAAGCAAAGAGAACCTGTCAAAGTCCAGCCCGCCATTGGCTGGATCCTGTAAATGGCGCTAGTCGTGTGGGCAGGACTCATCTCTGCAGCACGAGACAAACACTCTCTGCTCTGGTAGTTCCGCCTCCAGGAGTCAGCCAATGGAAACGGCCTCCATGACAAGACCATTTTTTAAAAAAAATCTCCCAACAAACAAATGGCCCCCCGAAGGTCACATGACGCAGTAACACGATATACGGTGACCTAGACCATGTGTTCAGCTTACATACACTGCAGATCTGAAGCAGATTGTACAATCAGATTGCAGCGTGTGTGGTAAAGGACATCAGAGCTTACACTTCATCCCACACAAGTCTGGAGAAGAGCGATTGCGTGGCCTTCACATTCCCGGACCGGATCTCAGGGCAGATTTTCCTCCCGCTGTAAGTCACCGAACACGAGATATAGAAGGCGGCATTCTGGCTGGAAATGGAAGACAAATGTCAGATAAAGAGCAACATACCAGAGACTCGGCGTGACCCCAACCAATGACATCATCATGTGACATCACACACCCACACACACTACAATCCAATCACATGCAGCAACCTCAGATGTAAAACTGATCGCTGAAATCTCATATAAACCTTTAAAATATAATTTAAAAAAAAATAATTTTTAAGCCTGCAGCTTTCATGAAAATGATCCCTGGTGATCCTGCCATGGAGGTCACTTCCTGTTATAGGGTGACAACCCCCCTGTCTCTGTCCCCCAATTGTGCTTCCACGTTGTCACCCTGCCACATGGACTTCCCTGCAAGCGACCCTTTCAACGCACATTACACAAAGCACGGCCCACTGTTGTCACCATCAGGAAACCCAACCTGAGAAATGCCATGCAGTCATCGCTGGAGTGCATGTAGACAGGAAGTGGCAGCAAAGAGACTGCAGGAGATTAGCAGCACTGAAGTGTACCAAAGGATAAAAAAGGGTGACAACAGGAATTTTTTTTATAAAAAAAGACAATTGTTAATGATTGTCAGGACACAGAGGATAAGAAATGTCATCCAATTAGGGTTTATGGCCCCCCTCGTGCCGCTTTCATTGCTCCATATGAATCTCCATCATAAGGCGAGTGGTGTCTGTGGGGCGGAGTTCTTCCGGCAGCTGCGGCTCTGTTTGTCTTGGTAATGTCTCTCCTAAATGTTTAATAAGCTCTCTAAGTGTTCTTCTCATAGAGGAGACCCCGGGGGGCCCTTAGATAAGATGTACTGAGGCAGAACTGGGGCACAACCTGCACAGGCAGCCCTTTAATGGGAACATCCTATCCATAATGTAATCCTATTTCGGTGGTGGTGGGGGGGCGGGGGCGGGGGTGATCAGAGGCCCCCACAAAGTCTATTTACACTTTATGGTTTTTATTTACTTAAAACTCAGTTTAAAAGGAGAACTATGGGGTCAGGGCTTGTCCCCATAGTTCTCCTTAGGGTAACGGGAGGACACAAACTAGCGCCTCCCGTTACCCTAAGCTCAGTATACCGCGACGCCGCAGCTGGGACGGATCCCGACATTACTGTCGAGATCCACCCAGCTGCGTGATTGACAGCTGGCTCTGCCTATCTAGAGGCAGAGCCAGCTGTACCCGCCCCCTCCCCCGTCCGTTCCGCCAGTCAGCGCTGGTCAGTCAGTCAGTGTCAGTCACGTCTCTCTGCAGGGACAGGATCGAGAAGTGAGCGAGCGACGGTATGCGTTCGCTCACTTCCCGAGCCGATGTAAGACAGTTTCATTATCACACGTCAACTCGAACTATGAGGCGGAGTGATTTTCACTCGCCTCATAATTCTCCTTTTAAGTTTGTTTTTTTTTTAGTTACATGATGTAGATTAACCATCACTTCCTGTCCCAGAGACACAACAGGAAGTGAGATGAAATCTTTCCAAAGTGATGCAAAATCCCCTCTTAGACAGTTGTCACCAGATCAGGTGTCCCCATTGGAAGATTTCTGTTCTTGTTACGGTGACAACTCAGCATTTAAAATTTCCCATTAACGTTCAGGCCGCACTCCACTGAATAGCTAAAAACTTTATTAGCACCAGACAAGGTCGGTCAGACATCCCCGCCAGACCTGGCTCCGCCTCTGATGCATTTTCGGACATTATGGGCTTAGTCACAGACCCACCCCCTATGGCAAAGTCCATATTGTGGGTGGGGCACCTCAAAGGTGGAGTCACGTCTAGACACGTGCACCGGCAAAACATTTGTTTAGTTTTTTATTCAGATTTTTTTTTTTTGGGATTCGGGTCCGAAAGTCAATTCATTTTGGGATTCGAATGAAATTCGTTAGCGGTAGTCTGTACGGATTGTCGTTTCATTTTTGTTTTGTTGCAGCAAAGTTACATTTTTGTCACTTTGCTGCAACGAAAATTCGTCCACAAACAAAGCTTCGTACAGACTCAGACTACCGCTAACGCATTTCGTTTTGGAAAATTCGGATCCGTTCTCATTCGTCATTTCTGTTATTACATCCGAATAACCAGAATTCGTCCGAAGAACTCATTTTTCTGAAAGGAATCGCACATGTCTGGTGGGTGTCTCGTCTAGTCACGTCTGGTGGGTAAGGGGATGTCATGTCTGGTGGGGTGTCACATCTAGTCACGTCTGGTGGGTAAGGGGTGTCACGTCTGGTGGGGTGTCTCGTCTAGTCACGTCTGGTGGGTAAGGGGTGTCACGTCTGGTGGGGTGTCTCGTCTAGTCATGTCTGGTGGGTAAGGGGTGTCACGTCTGGTGGGTAAGGGGTGTCACGTCTGGTGGGTAAGGGGATGACACGTCTGGTGGGGTGTCACGTCTAGTGGGTAAGGGGTGTCACGTCTGGTGGGGTGTCTCGTCTAGTCACGTCTGGTGGGTAAGGGGTGTCACGTCTGGTGGG